CTTGCATTACCTGCTATGCAAAGGCAGAGTCATTAGAACACCTAGCGGAATGCCAAATATATTAAGGGATTTGGAAAAAAATAAAAGTGTTTATGATGGAGGAGCTAGAGCAACAGCTTAGTTCCAAATAGGAAATTACAATAAGAAACCAAATACTTAATAAAACTCTTTTAGATTTGAATACGAAAACCAGGCTTCAAAAAAGAAAACTCTTTATACAGAGACTTACCAGTAAAAGCTTAGTAGCAGAGGTTAGGGATCTTCTAGATTCAACTTCTAAAGTGAACAAAGCTATTTGCTGGTTCACTGAGATATTCTGGTCAAACTTCTTTGAGAGGCTTTGGAAGTTTCTTGCGAGATATTTTCAGAATGGGAAAAAAGAAATGAGATCGACAACAATAAAAAGAAGAAAAAGTCTAATCACAACTCCTTAACCAAAGTAAGGAAGAAGCAAGAAATTAAAGAAAACCAAGCTCTAGTAGAAAAAGAAGTTATGAAGTCGGAACAGGATAAAGAAATAAGAATTCAGAAAGAAGCTGAAAGCAAAGTTGTAAGTTGGATTGAAGGAAGAATGAAGGATAGTTGGTTAAGTTTCAAAAACAATTAGGCAATTTTGATACGGGCACATAGCAGCCTTCTGTAGATCTTGAGAGTAAGACCCTGTTTAGACATTCTACTCTTTTAAAAGGAAAATTTGTTATTGCAGCAGATTGTACCTGGGCACTTTAAGCAGCCAAGTGAGTCTGGATTTAAGTCAAGAAGGTAGTTTTATAACTAGTTTTAGTTAGTTTATAATTTTACTATAATATATTTTATGTTTTCTCTTAATAAATGAAAGGCAAGATCGCCTAAGGAAAAAAAAAAAAAAAAATAATGATATTATAAGTATATATTTTTTGACTAATAGAAGTAAATATTTCAATACTATAATATCAGGATTAATATTTTGTCATATCAAAATTTATATAGTGATAGTTTTTTTTTATTTTTTTTTTTTTAACCTTTCGGCAATTATGCCTCAACTTTATTGTAGTAATTGGAAAGTCTCTACAATACAATCCTATAGCCTAAGCTAATACTATCCCAAGTTGTAACTCATCCGGTTACCAAATAGTATCTAGATGTGATCTGCTATACTCAACAATTCTCTCAATACTAGATTATAAGAACTATATTCCTCCTCTAATATTTTACTGAAGCATGCTGATAGCGTATCATGGCTGCCTGTCATGACTAATCTTGCTTAAAGAAGACTCAAAAACAAGAAAAGAAAAAGAAAACAAATATAAAGAAAAATGAAAGAGAGAGGCTTAGATAGAAAAAATTTATAAGCAAAGCTAATAAATTTTTTCTAAATGCTACTTTACTCGTAAAAATTATATAAAATACTAATACTATATTTTATATCTCTTAATTAATTTGCTTCTTACACTATTAATCTAAATTAGTTACAATCTGTGATTAGCTTAATCACATGTGCTATCTATTTAGTAAACAAAACAGATCACCTATTTTGTTTATGTGATCTTTTCTCAAAATAGATTGGTGGTACGAATGTTGATCCTTTTACAGGGAGTAGCCAAATTCCTACTTTTTATAAAATAAATTTGCAAAAAGATTTTAATGTCGATGTAGAGAGACATCCCGTGTTTTTCGAGTTATAGGAAGAACCAGAAGGAGGTGGGTGCGAAAACTCTAACCAGAGTTAAAGGATAGTAGTATTACTTAACCCAGTCTAAGCAGTTTTGGTAAAGCTTATCTTCAGACTTTGCTTCAGCCATAAGTAAATGAAGAAATAATAAGACCTGCTAAAGTCAGCAGCTTTGCTCTAGTAGGCTACTTACAAACTAGTGGTATTAGTATAATACTAAACTCAAACTAGTTATGAGCTTTATTCCTTGCGCTGTACAATAATATTTCTTGCTAGGTTGTTGTTTTTGAAATTTTTGTTGTTGCTCTGTATTAGGTTTTAGTGATCAGCAGAAAGAGTTGTGTGCTAGTTTTTTTTTATTACAGAAGATATTTTTATAGATTATATAGTTATAAGCTATTTTTGTTTTTTTTTTTTTAAAGCTATTACAAATGGAATTAAAATATAAAATTAGTATAGATAAAAAATGTTTATATCAAATTGATATCAAAAAGAACTGAACTAAAAATAAAGCTCAAAATTTAATTAAATTTCAGTTTTTAATTTGTTTATACAATAATAATATTCAATTATTTTTTTTATCTGTACTATTGTAGTTATTTTTTTCATAAAACAATTATCAGTTGTACTTAAATTATGTTCTTCTTTAATTTAACTTTTTCTTATCTTTTTTTTAAAAAAAATATTAAAGTTGTTAAGTATTATCTTTTATATTATTAATAATACAATAAAAATTTTTTACTTATAATTAAAATCTTTAACTAATTAGTATTGTTTAATATATAAAAAAATTTATATTTTGGAAAATAAATAAATTTAGAAAATTGTTATTGCTACCTCCAAATTTGTTAATGCTATTCCCCTCGTGATCTGAGCTAACTTCTAATCTACCTTAGACCTATATTATGCAGTTCGAATATACATAGAAGTTACACAAACAACTATATTTATCACAAATTTCAGAGTATAGTATATACGTAACTTTTGTGTAGATCTACAAATCAAAATCATGAAATTTTGTTTACACAACGAAGTAAAAAATGAGTGAAAAGTTAAAAATAATAAAAATGACAATCTAAACCTATCTTTAGATACTAATAAAAAATGTTGAGAAGGCAATTTTACAATATAATACTTTAACCCTAACTCTAATTGAACTATCCCAAATCCTAATTTTAATTAAAGGTACAATCACGAGTGCACCATACTTTAAATGTTCCCAAATTTTATATGATAATCATTAGTTAGATAAGTCATATATTATCAAGTCGCTATTATTAAATAAGTGATTTATTCTATTAATAAAAATTTTTTTAAAAGTTTACTATATTGAGTTTAACTTCACTTTATTATAATCGAGAGTGACTTGTATTAATTTCTCCAAAATCAATAAAAGTTATGTAACTCACAGTTGTCAATTTGATTGTAAAATATATAATAAAATTCAAAAAATTATAATAGCTCATGAATTGGTCATTATTGCGAGACTAATAATGTTTTTAGCAATAAAATAGAATAGTACTTAGTATTACAAGTATAGTTGTTAGATGAAACTGTTTTACTAAAATAGCAAAAAATAAAATTTAGGAAGCGAAAAGACGAAAGGTGATGAAACTTTAGTGAATAGCGAAAGGCAAAACCTCTGGTGGCAAAAGATAAAACGAATAGTAAAAAAAAAAAAAAAAAAAAAAAAAAAAGGCCGAGTTACAGTAGGCAAAAAAAAGAAAAATTCTTTAATATTTTAAGGAATGTAAAGTGGCTATTAAAGTATTATTTTTATTAAGTTATTTAAGTTAAGTATATAGCGATTATAATTATTACTTATTAATAAAAAATTGGAAAATTCTATTTTGACTTAGGTCAAAATAGAATTTCCTCTAACAATAATTTACATAAAATCTACTGATTTATTTTTTATATAACTGCAGTTAACGGATCCAGTATCATCTATAAAAATATAACTTTATGTTAAAAGTTAAATTAATAACAAATATTAAATACTTAACTATAACTTCAAAATCGATATAGTATAAAATACTGAAAATACATTATATATTTTAATTTAAATTTATCTAGCCTAGGTTTTAAATATAATTTTTAATTTTTTAAATAATTTTCTAATGTTTCTAGGGATGGTAACAGTTACGATCGGCTACAATATTCATAGTCAGTTTTCTAAAAATTGAGATGATTTTTTATTTTTGAGTTTTTAATTAAAATTGTTCAGAATTATATACTGAATATTCTATATTATAAGTAGAAAGAACGATACCTTCTCTGGAACTTAGAATTTCAAAATTTGTTAATTTATAACTAGTTATTATCTAGCAATTAATAACCCGTTATGATTTAACAAATTTTGAAATTCCGAGTTCCAGAGAAGGTATCATTCTTTCTACTTATAATATGGAATATACAGTATATAATTCTGAACGACTTTAATTAAAAACTCAAAAATAAAAATTATTTCAATTTTTAGAAAACTGACTATGAATATCATAGCTGATCATAACCATTCTATCTCTAAATGTTTCATAATCTAAATAAATTTCAGTAAAATAATAATACAGATTATGAATAAGTCATTAATAGCTACTTAATGAAAATAAAACTTTCTTATCTCAAACATGTTAAACATATATAATTAAACTCTTGAATTTTCGTGAATTTAAATTGAATTAGAAGTCTTTATATATGTTGATAATCTTCAAAATTAAATAAATATTACGAATTTTATTATATTTATTAGTTCTAATAATTATCTTGTAAACATTTTTAATACAATAGTGAGATTGATACCTTTACACATAGCCTACTAGGTTAGTTATTAGGTTGACTATCTAAGAATACTTGATGTCTTATACCACATTGCAGACAAATTTTATAAATTTTCTGTAAATTGTTATTAGTGATCTTCATTAGGATTTGATAGATGTAGTCAATCACAGACTATATTTCAAACTTGACTATGATAGATAGTATAACAGTATATTGAATGATGTAATAATAGTTTAATTAGTAAATAAATAAAAAATATGACTACACAATGATTAGTTTGCTTTTTCTCTTTTTTCGCTTTTAAAAATTAAAACCTATAATCTAAGAACTATTCGTTTTATAAATATTGTAAGATTTTTAAAATAATACAAATTGGTTAATAAAAAAAAGGGTTTGAAGAAAAGTTAGGTTGATTAATCATAGTTATTAAACTATTAGAACTTATTATAATATATATAGTGCATACCCTATCCCTTACCAAATGCTTTTACTTCCGCCTAATCAATTTTTTAACTGTAATGAACTTCTTAAATATGTATGAGCCTTTTCTAAAACCCAAGGATATGCAGTAATGATAAAAAGGTTACAAGCAGATAAAAACAGTGAAATCAAAAATATGACATTAGATTGCGATAGAAGTGGTTCCTATAGAAACAGACTAAATTTGACAGATAATTCATATTATAAACAGATAGCTTTAAAACTTTTGCGTTGTCTATTTGAACTTTATGAAGTTAGACATGAAAATATTTGGTATCTTGAAATCAGAAACTCTAAACATAACTATGAAGCATCAGTTGATATATTTGGTCACCCAATTATTCGAAGGTTAAATATTGAGTAATGAGAACAAGTTCAGAGAATGTCAGCTGCTGGTTTCCGTTTACATCAAATTTTAGCAACTATTTATCAGAATGATCCCTCCTTAATAGCTATATTCAGAACAATATATAACACCCTATATTCTATTTGCCAAAAAAGACTTAATAGTTGTATGCTAGTACAAGCCCTTATTGATAAACTGCAAGGATCTGACTTTGAATTCGAATATCAATGTGATCACCAAAATCACATAACAAATCTTTTTTTTGCACACAGGATATCTATTTCTCTAACTCGTACTTATCTTGCTGTACTACTTATTGATTGCACATACAAGACCAATAAATATCATATGCTTTTAATGAATGTTATTGGTGTATCGAGTTTCAATACAACCTTTTTTTTTTGCTTTGCTTTTCTAAGTGATAAAACAGAAGTTAATTACAAGTAGGCTTTGACTTGTATGTCAAAAATTTTTAGCAAATTGTCTTACCTTAGTATCATAGTTATTAACCGAGAACTGGCATTAATGAAGGCTTTTGAAAAAATCTTCTCTAGAACTCAATACATTTTATGCATGTGGCATATCAATAAGAATGTTTTGGCAAAGTGTAAATATTATTTTGATACAGAAAAGGATTAGACTGACTTTATGAAAATGTGACAAGTGGTGGCAGTATCTGTTACTGAGCAAGAATTTGTAAACCAATGAATAAAATCTTAAAATATTATGAAAATATACCTGAAGTTCTGAGTTATCTTCAAAAAACCTGAATTACTCATAAGGAGTATTTCGTTTTCGCTTGAACTGATCATTATTTTCATCTTAGTAATAAGGTAACTTCATACGTAGAAGCTGTACATACTACCCTTAAAAGGTGTTTACAATCATCCACAGGTAGTGCTATATTATGAAAGTTACATTTTTACATTTTATGTAATTTCATATAAGTTTTAGTAAATTAGATTTCATTGTAATTTTCAGCATTACAAAAGTTTAGCCACTATTGTTATGTCAAATACTTGATTTATATTGCAGCTCAATTATTACAACATTTAAAGATAAAAATTATAATAACGCAAAATCACAATGTGTTTCAAGCTATAATTACATGAAATTTGAGTTACTAATACTCAAAATTACATAAAATTATATTAATTTCTAATCCCATCCACAGGTAATCTCGAGTCAATCTATTGCAAAATTGTATTACAAGTAGAGGCTCAAGCAAGAGAAATGTATGCAATGATTTCTTCTCAATGTATCAAAGTACTTTATATATACTGGATTTCTCTGTTTGAACCTCTCTTATATAATGTTTCTGTTTTCGCTTTGAATAAGATCTGTGATGAATGGATAAAAGTATCAACTGCAACTTTAGATTCTCATCTAAGACCTTGCACAGGAACTCTTAGATCTATAATAGGGCTTCCATGTTCACATATAATTAGTGAATGTCTAGCAGCTAATCAACTATTACAACTAGTTGATATCTATGAACATTAGTGGATTCAAGGGCATCAAATAGAATTTCTGGAACCTACCTACCTTGTAAATGATGATTACACTAATCTACAGCCTCTTCTACAATCTCTTGAGCAAATGTACCAATTTTGGCTACCACACTAACAAGCTACTATCAGTTCCCAACTAGAAGAGCTGGTGAATACTCCACCAATTGTGTTAGAAAATCTTGTTACCCATAAGCTACGAGGAAGACCAGCTAATACAAAAAACAAAAATACAAGAACAACATGAAGAGATCTATCTGTATTCGAACTTGTTGAAAAATAGTCAAAGCAATGTAGTACTTGCTATCAAACTGGCTACAATTGCCAAACTTGTCCTAATGCATAACTTTATTCTTAGAAATTTTTTTTTAACATACATTTATTTCTTACCTTGAATAGGATTAATATGAAATTTTATTAGTTATAGGTGAATTATCTACAATATTGATATTAATAAATTTAAATGTTATATTTTGTTCAATTTAAGAAGCAAATTTGTATGTTATTGTTACCTTAAATTTTTTTAGTAATAAATTTTTTTTTTAGATTTCAGTAATAGATCTGAAGTTATATTATTGAAATACGAAAAAATTTATACTAGTTAGACTACTCTGTATATAAGTACTATAATACCAGTAACCAAAATACAAGTTTTTTAAAAGGTTTGACTACCTATAAATGCGAAGCAAGACTCTCTAGTGTTATGCTTAGTGCACTATCTGATTTTTTTTTCTCAGAAATTACATGAACATAGGCACAAATTTAATTGGTTAATGATATGCTAATTTGTGATCTGTGTTTATGTAACTTTTATAACTGTAATATTAGTTATACTGGTTATGTTATTTGAGTTGCATGATATAGATCCGAAGTAGATCAGAGGTTAGCTCGAATCATGAGAGGAGTAGTATTAACAAATTTGGGGGGTGGCAATAACAACTTTCTAAATTTAAATATTATATTATTACTACTATATATCCTATTCAAGTTATTACTAAAGATTAATCTCTAACAGATATGAATTTACAAGTTCTAATTTAAAATTAAATATTGCTATACTCTCTATATTTACTCTAAAAATTATTATATTTTTGTACAATACCAAAGAATTAGTCTTACTAATAGTTTTAATAATCCTGTGCTAAATTATCTATGATTATTTATTTATTTATTTTTTTTTGACAATGAAGTCTATCCTCTAACTCTTTATTAATATCAATAAAAAAATATATAATATTACAAGTACATATACAGTTAAGTGAAAATAAGGAAGTAGAGGTAAGAGTTAATTTACTCTCGACCTAAGCTGTGCTAAAAAGGTTGTAGGCCTCTAGTTTTTGTATACTAAAAGAATAGAAAAATATCTATCCTTTATATATTGAGCTATTTTGTTTAAAATAAAGTTTAGAGAAATAGTAATAGTCTGAGTATGTATTGTTAATAGAAGTGGGTTTGGATTAGAAAAAATTGGAGAATATGTTATTTGTCTTGAGGATAATCAGATTTCATGATATATAAGTTTTATAATAAAATGATATATTAGAGATACATATTTTGTTTTGTTTATATATCTTTCAAATAGAGCTAGTGTTTCTGTTGTTATGAAACCAAGTAGAAATTTTTGTTATATATAGGTCTGTTTGAAGGCTGAAATGAACTTGTTAGTATGAATAAAGAGAATTTGAAGTTCTTCTAAAATTGCTGATATCATATTTCTTATTATACTATCTATTGCAGTAGTATTTCTCAAACATAAGATAAGGTGTATACTATTTTCAGATAAAAATAGGCAGCGTGTGCAAAGATAGTTGTTATATTTTGTTAGATTTCTAGAATATAAAGTTGAATAAGTAGGTAACTCATTTGCTAGTAGTTTAACTTTAAAGTTTTTTAGTTTAGAAAAGTTTGAGTTGATGCTTAGGGATAAAGGACGTTCTTTAAAAGAAATATAAGCTAAAATAGCTAGCCACTGAGTATCTCCTCTGCTATAGGACTATTCACAAATTCTATTTTAATTAGCTTAAGTAAGACTATTAATTATCTTGAGGTTGTCTTTGATAATTGAACGGAGATAGTATATACAAGGAGTTTGAAATAAATAAAGAATAAATCTGTTGTATAAAAATTGTTGAGGGATAATGTTGAGTTCGAAGAGATGATCTGATTTGAAGTTGTATTTTAGATCTTTATCTAAATTAAATAAGATTAAGTTAAATGATGTAATAATAGCTTTGATTATGAGAAGAATAAATGTATAGTATATTTTGTCTAGTAAATATAGACGATATGTTGGAGTTTTTGAAGTATTTTTAATTAACTTTAAGAAAAATATATTGTTTGAAAAAATTATTAGATTGGTATTAGGTAAGAAGGCTGTAATTATAAAGGCAAATAGAGTAAGACAGGCTTAAGTAGTATTTGGCTAGGAACTGTTAAAAATTCACCAAGTTGTTGAGGAGTTTGAGAGCAAACAAGTTGCTAAAGGTTAGTTGTTGTTATATGGTGAACAAGGATATACAGATATAAATATATATATATTATTAGTTCTATTATTATTTTTTGAGAGTTTATTCTATATGTGTAATGAAAAAGAGGAGAATACATTTAAAGGTTGTAGTAGTTGTATATTTGTTTAAGGCCTATTACGTATTATTCTGTTCCTAGTTGTTGTCTGTACAAGCATTAAGTTATCGAAGTTGGCATGTAGGATCTTTTTAAAATTAACTTGTAATAAGTATAGCTTGTTAATATTATATTGGAAGTAATAGCCTTTTGTCTTTAGTTTAAGATCTTTAATATTGCAACTAGAACAGAATGATAATATATTATCAGATGATAATATATAATAGTATATAGATATTTTTGTTTCATTAAAGTTGTTAGTTTTGCTTATATAATTATTCCAAGTAAAGATCTATAATTTTTTTTTAGGAGTCCATTTTGTTAGAGTAAAAGAATTAGAATATATGAGAGTAGCTGTAATATTATCTAAAGATCTAATGAATTGTTGTATCTCTATGAACTATTTTGATATGCATCCTCATAGAATCTTAAGAAAATTGTGATGTATGCTGATCTAGTTCAAAAGTTTATTATTCATATGGTTGAAGAATTGTTCAATATAATATATTTGGTGTTGATTAAATTGTTGTTTGTATATATAAGCTTTAGGATGATTATATAAGAGTTTGTTGATTGAGGTGCTTTTTATCTCATATGGTTTAGATCAAGTTATGTCTTTATTTCTTGCAAACTGTATATTTAGAGAGTGTATTGCTATTATTAATTGACCTGTATGAGTATAAACTTTATTTTTTGGAAGAAGTAGAGAATGTATAAGTATAGAGAGATTAGATGTAGTTGAATCTTATAATTGTTGTAGACGAATTTTTAGAAAGGAAGATTTAAAGTAAGATTAATTTAGATTATATAGGAGTGTTAAAGTTAAATATGAGTTTTGATTTTGTATAAAGTTCTTTAAACTATAGATATCTAAATGATAAAGGAAGGAGTTAAGGAGAGAATGAGAAAGTTTAGCTTTCTGTTTTACAATATTAGTATAACAATAGTTAAATGAAATAAGTTGAGTATTTGAAAGAAAGGAACTATTTAAGCGATAGAAAATTTGAGATATTATAACATTAATGATGATATAAATTGCTTGTTTTTCAGTAATAAAGGATTTTTGAAGTTTTGTAGCACAGAAAAGTGCTTCTGTTAAAATAGTTTTTTGTGTAGTTATAGGTTTTCTAGTAATTGAAAACCAGGCTCCTAAATATTTAAATAGTTGAGTTTTGTCAATTGCTTTTAGTAGTTCCCTATTGAAAGTAATTGTTTTATCTTCAAAAGTAGTATTAGTAGCCAAAATAGATTTGGTTAGATTAACTTTAATCATTGCAAAGTTGTAGAAGGAGTTTGCAGTTACAAGAATTTGTGTAAGAGCAGGCTTATTAGGTGTGATCCATAAAGAGTCATCTATATAAGCTATTACTGAGGTTTGAATATATTTAGATATAGGTTGTATTTAAGAGATTCCTTGATATTCAATATATTCTTTGTATATTTGTGAAATTAAAGAGTTATATTATATTTTCCACAATAGTAAAGAAAAGGTTTCGCCTTAGTCTATATCATCTTCTACTAGATAAGGTTTAAAGAGGCTATAATCTGTAATAACTTGATTTGTACAATTGAAAAGTAAAAAGGTTAATAGATTAACTATCAAGTTAGAGATCTGAATTCTTTGTAATACTCTAACTAATATAGGTATGTGAACAGAATCGAAAGCCTTTGAAGTAATAGCCAAACTTCTTGTTTAGAGATAGAAGCATGTTCAATTATAGAAGTGAGTTGTAATATAGGTTGAAGAGTTGATTGTTAAGGAAATGCTACGAAGTTGTGAGGAAAGAGAATATTGTGTCTATTTAAGATATTCGACAGTCTATTAGTAATTATTTTAGTAAATATTTTCCTAGTATAGTCTATTAAAGTAATTGGATGAGTAGTATTGAGCTCATATGTATATTGAGCCTTTTTTGAGATTAGCCAAATATTAGAATTTAGCCATTGTTTTGGAAGCTGTTCTAATTGTAAGCAAGCATTAAATATCTGTAGAAGATGTGAAATGCCTGATAGAGGTAAGTGTTGTAGCATTTCATTTAAAACTCTTAGAAGACTGGTAGCCTTATATTTTGGTATTTCATTTATTATATTTGTGATTTCTTCTAGAGTAATAGGTTTAGTTAGAGGTTGATAGATATTAGGTCTAGTATTTTTGAGTGGAGTATAGTATTTTTTCTATTCTGATTATAAAGAGTTATTAACAGGATTTCATTTAGTTCAATTTTGAAAGTGAGTTAAGGCTGCTTCTTTGATTTGTTGAGGTTTAGTAATAATTTCATCAGAACAGATTATTTTTTCAAAGCTTATTCAATCTTACTGTTTCTTTAAGATACTGTTAATCATTTAACTGGTATTATCTTTGAAGTCAGTATATCTGCAGTTTACATAATATTTGATTCGTTCTGTTTGTTCTAGATTTCTTTCTATATTTTTACTTTTTCAAATTGTAGACTTTAGTTCCTTGATCTTCTTAATAGTATTAATATAGTATGAAGTTTGACTATTTTCTACTATTGTAGTACTTAGATCTAAAGGAAGTAAGAGAGTTTGTGAAGATTCAGTTAGTCAGTTTGTCTTAGCAAGATATTTGTTTGCTAGTGAGGTAATATGCTCAATTAAGAATAG